AAGTAAAAACGAAATAAAATTGTATTGATATATTCATAAAAAGCATTCCCCATTTTTAAGGTCGCTGCGAGAACATGTCTGATATCGAGGACTTGGAGGCGGCACCAGAGGATTCCAAGGAAGGCGTTAAAGAATCTGTCAAAGATGACGCAGAAACGAAACCGCTGCAAATGTCGTTTGCAGATTGGAAGAAATGCAAAGAGGCTTTGAAACCGGATACTAAGAACGGTCCTCAGCGGAGCAACAATAACAATGGTCTCAACAACAATAACAACAATAACGGACGTAAACAATGGGCTTCGAATAACAACAATCACTTCCAAGGAGGCGGAGGACCGCTAAGCTACCAGGACAGAAACTATCCTCCACTGAACAGACCCCCTCCGCTTCCGATGCAGCTGATGAACATGGGCTTTGGTGGTAATTTCGGGCCTGGTCCCGGACCCTGCGGTCCACCAATGGGACCTGGAGGACCTTGTGGTCCCATGAGCAATATGGGCCCCGGTGGCCCACTGGGCTTTGGAGGTCCAGGCTGTTCTGGGCCCCGGAGGAATCACAACCAGCGACCGCTGCAGCCGCCTCCGTTTTGGGAGGACATGATGTCGCCGCAACACAGGCCACCACCAATCCAACCGCCCATGCCTAAGTGCCCCACCTCGTGGAATTTGGTGCCCAAGGAGCGGGGTACACAAAATAATCGCAGCAATCAAAATCACAATAACAAAAAATTCAGGGCGAATAACCGCGGCAGCACTGACAAAGATACCAAGCTAATGCCTCCGCCCCCGCCGCCAAGCAATGGCAACAATTCGTATTCGAACGGAGACGCGCAGCCATCCAAAAAGCCCAAGCGCAGCGGTACATTTGTCCAGGTTAACGGCCAATGGATCCAGAAGCCAGAGGCACCACTACCGCTCGAGGATGCGCCGCCGGGTACAAAGGAAGAGCGCCAGCGTCAGTGGAAGGAGTACCGCATGGCCATGAAGCCGTTCAAAAACCGTGAGTTCCACAACTGGAAGCGAACAGTGCAGCGCTTAGGGAAGCTGCCGCGCGACCAGCTGGACGAGCAGCAACTAGAACGTCTACAGAAGGCCGAGGAGTACATAGTTGCCCACAAGGCGATGCTGACGGTGAAGTATGCAGAGCGCTGGGTGCAGCAGGACAACAAGCATGAAAAGGGCCAAGTGTTCGTACGCAAGTCATCCAACAACGTGGGCTCGTGGGACATGCCCAAGGAGAGGCCGCCGAATGGTTATGCGACGATGCATGATTTCAAGAAGCAGCAAATGGATAAGTTTTTCGGTCCCGGCCGTGCCATCAAAGGCGGTACAGATCTCTCCGTCATTGGAACCGTAGCGCCGCCTCCGCCGCCACCTGACACCCCTCCACAAATTACCAACTACTGGCCCTCTGGGAGTACCAACAACACGGGGTCCAACTCCAATCCTTCGTACTTCAGCCACTACAGCAACAACTTTGTCAAGGGTTCTACTCTGCTGCCGCCCTAGAATAGCCATCCAAAACTAACCCAGGGCGTGGGTTTTCTCGAACACTATCCAATTGCATGTCACATGCATAAAATTGTACAATATTTTAATCAAGTTCAGCAATTTCTTCATCATCCCGGATCGACGGACATCGGCATTTGTATTCAGATAAATGTAACAAAATCAACTTGACAATACTATGACTATTACTTGAATTTGCGACTGCGCCGCGGCTGCGATTCGTCCAGAGGCGGAAGGCCTAGAAGCTGGCGTCGTTCCCGCTTGCCACGCAGGATGGCCTCCTTGAAGAGGTTGCAATAGAGTTCCACTGCGGCCGGCGAGTCATCGTTGCCGGGCACTGGATAGGTGATTAGGTTGGGATTGCAGTTGGTGTCCACTACGCCAATCGTTGGTATGGCCATTTTAGCAGCATCACGAACTGCCGTGTGCTGAGTCATTACGTTGTTCTGAGTGTTGAGGAAAATGCAAAGATCGGGCAGTCTGGTGACTGCATCAAATTGCACATTGGCATTGGTAAAGATGCCGCCGCGCCAGAAGCGAGTGTGTGAGAATTCACCGGCCTCCTGCGCCTTTCGCTCCACGAGATGCGAGTTCATGGCGTTGCGGTTAAAGAATAGGATGATTCCATCCCGGAAGGCGATGTGCGCGGCAAAGTTGAGGGCATCGCGCAGATGTAACGCCGTCTTGTCCAGATCGAAGATCAGGTGGCCAAGCCGACTGCCGAACAAGTAGGGACGCATTCGGTCGTCCAGGGAGCCCTCCTTGTGGCCATAGTGCACTCGGGCATTGAAGAGGTCGCGCACGGTGAACAGGTTGTGCACTTGGAAGTAATCCGGGTGCTTCAGAATCCGCTGTTCCACCAGGGCGATGTCCTCCGGTTCCGTTTCCACCGATTGCTCCGGTTGTGTGCTTTGCAGACGTCGTGGAAAACCGCACATCTGCCCAAAGCGGGGTACTAACAAAGGAATTCATTTATAACTCGGTTTCCTTACTATTTTAATTGATTACTTACGGTTGGCAAGCGATTTTCTCAACATTTTGGAGCGGCTCGTGTTTTCATAACCTATGTTCTTCTTCTTGTCTTTGGTTTTTGATAAACAGCTGTTGGCCAGTGTTAAAAAGATGTGCTGTAGAACAAGTAAAAATATAAGTTTTAAAAAATGTAATTTTTATATAATAAAATAAATAAATAAAATAGTTCAATAATATATATCAAATTCAGATTTTCTTTAACTTAATGAATAATGAGCCGATCCCAGGAGTTTTCCAGAACACCCTTTATTTCATCATCTGCTACGGACAGTGTTGGATAATCTATCCCAGCTGGAATGATTGAGTTGTAAATTTGTGTTTTTGCTAATTATTGGCAAACTGCAATGTTCCAGAGACTGAAATAGTCAAAAGAAATCAAAATGGAAGTAGAGCAGACGTCAATCAGGTCGGACACGAACTCCACCTGCGAGTATCTGGACGCAGAGGGCGATCCGGAGTCCCCAAATCTCTATCAAGAGGCGGATCCCGACCAGGAGGCGGAGCAACAGAATCATAGTATTATCTCCGAGCTGAGAGATGGCCTGGGCACCACGCGGGACACCAGTACCCTCAGTCCCGAACCGGGGCAGGAGAACAAGGGACTGGCAGCTTCTGTGGAGTCTCTGGCATTGAGCACATCAACCAGTGCCAAAACAGAGGACTCACTTGGTGGGGGATTGGAGGAGGAGTACGATTACCAGCACGATAGTCTGTGGCAGGGCCAAAAGAAGCACATATTCATACTCAGCGAGGCGGGAAAACCAATTTTCTCGCTACACGGCAATGAGGATAAGCTGGCGACGCTTTTCGGTGTCATTCAGGCACTGGTGAGCTTTGTCCAAATGGGCCAGGATGCCATTACGTCCATTCATGCAGGCGGCATCAAGTTCGCTTTCATGCAGCGCAGCTCGCTCATCCTGGTAGCTGCCAGCAGGAGCAACATGAGTGTCCAACAGCTGCAACTGCAACTGGGGTGAGTCAATTTTAAAGCTCCTGATACCAATGCTAACTTCGCTAACTTCGCATTGATTACCAGTGATGTCTACAATCAAATACTGTCAATTCTGACGTACTCACACATGACGAAGATCTTCGAGAGGCGCAAAAACTTTGATCTGAGGAGACTGCTCTCCGGCAGCGAGCGATTGTTCTACAATCTATTGGCGAATGATAGTAGTAGTGCCAAGGGTTAGTATAATTTGCGTGATACTTAAACTGTTTAATTGATCAATAACTTGTTTTAGTGTCCAACAACATCTTCACATTTTTGACCAACTCAATTCGTGTCTTCCCATTGCCTACAACGATACGATCGCAAATCACCAGCGCCATTCAGAGCAACTGCTCAAAGATCAAGAATCTGGTGTTTGCCGTGCTGATTGCCAATAACAAACTGATAGCACTGGTGCGCATGAAGAAGTACTCCATACACCCGGCTGATCTGCGACTGATCTTCAACCTGGTAGAGTGCTCCGAGTCTTTTAAGAGCTCCGAGAACTGGTCCCCCATTTGCCTGCCCAAGTTCGACATGAATGGGTATCTGCATGCGCATGTCTCGTACTTAGCGGATGATTGCCAGGCCTGTTTGCTTCTACTGTCCGTGGACAGAGATGCCTTTTTCACGCTGGCAGAAGCCAAGGCCAAAATCACGGAGAAGCTGCGCAAAAGCCACTGCTTGGAAACCATCAACGAAGAGTTGCAGCAGCCGTTCAATGCGAAGCTATACCAACAGGTTGTGGGAATCCCCGAGTTGCGGCACTTTCTGTACAAGCCCAAGAGCACAGCGCAACTGCTGTGTCCCATGCTAAGGCATCCATACAAATCTCTGGCAGAGCTGGAGCGCCTGGAGGCCATCTACTGCGACTTGCTGCATCGCATCCACAACAGTAGCCGGCCACTGAAGCTCATTTACGAGATAAAGGAGCGCGAGGTGGTCTTGGCCTGGGCAACTGGAACCTACGAGTTGTACGCCATATTCGAACCGGTTGTGGACAAAGCCACTGTGATCAAGTATGTGGACAAGCTGATCAAGTGGATCGAAAAGGAGTACGACGTGTACTTCATACGAAACCATGCTACATTCTAAGCTTTAGCGCGCATTGCTGGGGCATTGTGAGATATGACTATTTTTTTATTGCTCTTCTGCCAATCGATCCAGGACAAAGATGTTGTGCTGCATTTGTGACGGCGTATGTTTAACTGATCCTAGTATACCACAATTACGCATGTACATTTGTAATTTTAAATGCTTAAGTAAATTCTTAAACATAATAGATTGTAGTTCATCTCTTAGAATGTGAATCTATAAAAAACTGAATTACGTTCTAGGAAACGGTTCGAGCCGATGCTAGCGTAATATATCCTTTAAGTTCGGACACAAACCAATCCGGTTATCGTCGGGGATGGACTTTAGAGAGCCAAAGGACTCGCAGAGAGAGCTTTTGCGGAATCAACAACTTAACGCGCGCACTCGCATCGGCGACACAAAGGCAAGGATTACGATGTGAAGGTGCTGGCAGAACATTCGGAGAACACAATTGAGTACAGGACACAAACGCGAACGCACACGCTTCGATTGTGGGCGCTGCCACCGGAAATCCAAAGTTGAACCAGTGCCTGACCGAAAAGAATTACAAAATAATTGCTAAAACCGATGAGTATGTGAAAAATGTGGAAAAACGTGTGGTGGTGGAAAAAATGCCAAGCATAAAATGGAAATTCACGGGTCTAACGCGGCACTTCTTTTCCCCTATTTAACTTGCTCGAAAAGGAGCAGCTTTTCAACATGCGCCACGCATTTTTTTGGGTGTTAAATGCTCGTGTATCTGTCGGTTTTTGCGCGCTTAGCTCTGCGGCGGCATTAATACACACACAAACACGGGGCTTGAACGAAATCCTGCCAGGATATATGCCAGAGTGCATGTGTGTGTGTCCGTGTGTGTGTTGGTGTGTGTGTGAGACGCCGCTCCGTTAGTTTTGCGCGCGTGTTGGTCTACCCGCTTTCAGTGTGCAAATCGTTTAATTTATGAGCAAAATGTATATTTTTATACGCATTTCTCGGGCATTTCCGTTTCGTATTTCTTTCGCTTTCGAATCCTCGTTAATTTGCCGTTTGTCTTTCGAGCCAAATTCGTAGTCCTGAATTAACAATCGGCGGCACCAGGAGCAGCAGCAACAACAAGGAGTTCCAAAGTTTCACCTTTCCTAACACAAACACACAAACACCCATACACATACACACATTGGAGGCCACAGGATGTCTTTTTGTGTATCCCAGAGTTATTTTGAAAGCAGCGCGTGTAGCAGAAAGAAGGACGAAAAAAGAGTAGCAGGAGTAGGTGCATGCGAGAGAAGAGAAGGATTCTATTTAAGTCGGAAAAAGTTTTAGCGCCTTGGACTTTTTATGACTCTTCTTTCGGCCTCCAAACTCCTTGGCTTTAATCAACTTTCCTTGCAGCACAGCAAATGTGGCCAAATTTGATAATTGGCAACATAAAAAGTTGATTGCGAAACTTGTGAAAATATTTTTAAAATATCTCATGGCTTTATTGCACCACAAAATGTTATAAAAATTACTTAAATTCATCAGATATATTTTTGGGCAGAACAGAAAGTTCGTAGGAATTATTGTAATTAAAGTCTTAGGAATTTCATCATATAAAAGAATTGTATGCTTATTATACAAAAGTTAAAACTTAAGTACAATAAGTATTTGCTTATTTTTCTTCTAGTTCCATACAATCTTGATCAACTCTTTTATTTTTCTTCTGCCAATTCAAAATGTTGTTGCAAAAAGTTTTCGCAAAACTCTCAGATAAATTGCACTCCTTAAACTTTTGATTGCATACTTTCAGCGGCGGCAAGGCAGTAAAAATAACTAGATATTGATTTCATGATTTCAGCGCTTAAACGTGCAGCTTAATTTATTATTTATGGCAGCTTTAGGATGTTTTCAGTGCAAATCACGTTATTTATGGGTATTTTTAAACATAAATATTGTGTGTGTGGCAATAGGGAAGTGTAACTAGTTTAACTAACTTAATTGTCTTACTTTGAAATCTATAAAACAAAGTTTTCCGGATTCAACTTGCCAACTACTCGCCAACAGATGAAACCCAGAAGCAAAATTGAATTGAAACTAAATCAATACTGAAAATCAACAAATGAAAATATCAAAAAGCGCGTGCATAAAACCCGCATAAAGCCAAACTGCAACCAACGAAAAAAAAGCGAGATACAAAATCAACAACAATTTCTGGAATTAATTTCATTTGCCGCGCGCGTCCATAAAAATCTACATAGAAAGCGGCACAAAATAAATACACCAGCCAGCGACGAAAGTGAATTGGTTAGCCATGGAGAAGGCGTAACTGCCATCTGCTGACCCAGGACCCATAACTTTAGGTTAGTATGTCGTCGCCGTCTTACTGACTTTGCACTCCTCGAAGTGGGGGACACCCATTTTCCTTTGCCTTCGAGCTTTCGTTTCCACAGCGCTTTCCCATTTTATTTCGAGCCCCTTTTTTATATCTATTTAGTACTAGTTGAATTTTGTGGGCATACTGGACTCATGGCAGTACAATTTTGGCATAAGCCTTAAGAGGTATCTTCTCTATAGAGACAATAGCGATAATAAATGTTATAGGATATTGTAAAACAACTAATGTAGTGAAGTTGAACGATGTGTGATCATATCACCATTCTTAAATTCCTTTATATACAAATTAAAAGGAAGTAAATACTGGGTATCTTGCATTTGAAACGTTTTATTTCCTCCTTTTCTTTGTTGAGATGCGTTGTTCGCTCGTTTTGTTTATCCTTTGGCCCCGATCAAATAGGCATCATTTGCCTGGAGGCTTCTCGGATTGGAAGGAAAAAGGTTCGCGACCGCATCTGCCGCTCCGCCGTGGCATCCGCATCTGAATCCGCATGCTCCGCATCCTGCGCATCCTTCACATCCTTTGCATCCCCATCCGCGTCCATCTCCTTCGCAGTGACAGCAATTTGAGCGACAGACAGTTGATGACTCTGTTGACAGGAGCGGGGTATCTTCGATATGGAGCCGGAAGGTGGGGCCATCTCGGGCCATCGCTTCTCTATACATCCCATCGTCTTGGGCGATATTAACCCTATTTTTGTCGTAAATTAATTACGACCGGCAGATGGTGGGTACGGAAATAGGCACGCACAATTTTTATGAAATTTTATATTGAGCGGTCAAAGCGAAAGGGAAAAGCTGGAACTTTTAAGGCATCTGGATGAAGATATAATCTTAATAGTTCGGGTCTCTTTTAATATGCATCAAAGCTTCTGCTTGAATTATAAGATCTGGTAAAATGGTTACATTATTATTATAAGAACATTATAGAATGCTATAGTCGAGTTCCCCGACTATCAGATACCCGTTACTCAGCTAGTGCAAACGAGAAATTTATTCAAAATATTCTGAAATATCGGTGGGAAAAAATAATAACATGAAGAAAAAATAAAACATTTTTGAAAAGTGTGGGCGTGACAGTTTTGAGTTGTTTGTGGGCATTGGAGTGGGCGTGGCGAAAATTGTTCTACCCAGTATACCCTTTTTCTCTACGAGTAACGGGTACAAATATTATACTTATTTTCCAAGGGTTCTTCCGTATGTCGCTTATTCACTCGCCTGGCATAACTTAAATATATGAGACAGATACAACATATTTTAATGCGAGTAATATTTCAATGGCCACCCACAAGGTTGTCCATTTATTTTATTTTGTTTGTTTTCAATTTCCAGTAGCTGGCTCCTTGGGCAGCCCACTCCCATGGCTCCAGACCATATATCATCGGCTCCTGCGACTTCCGGTTGTCGCTTTTGGCAGCCGCCATTCCCACTGTCTATTTATAGGCGCCGCTCACGCATACATCTTCACATGGAAACCACTACGCCACGCCCACTCCCGGTCCAACGGCGCCCCCCACATTACAAAGAAAATTGAAAAGCAAGTTATGTGTATTTTCGTCCTACTCGGACTTAAGGTGGCTATGTCAGCATACGTGTATGTGAAAAAGGAAAATGCCAGGCTGCTTTCCACTGAGTTTTCCGCGCAATTCCTCAACTCACCCACTCAAAATAAGATACGATATTAGTTTTAATAATTTTGCCCTTAAAAAGGCGACACAATTGCGGTAGCAATAGTAGATGTTCTCAAGAAATAGAGAGAAATTCGATAAATATGGGTAACAACAAAGATATTGTACCTTAAAGCTTCAAAGTTTCAATTTTCAAAGTAATAATAATACAAAGCTTTATTCATTTAGTTTTGTTAGGCAGGTATTTTAATTAAAACTTACATATTCACTTCACAACAGCTAGTAAGTTAACCGCAGCTGTGGCTGTGGTATTGTGTGGAATTTATTGAATTTTTATTGAACTTCTCTGCCGAGCCACGCTGGCTGCTGTGTACTCGTTAGGCGTGGCATAATTCATTATGTTGACTCACCGACACCCAACCACACCCCAACCCCAGCAGCCACATCCTGGCGAATGTCCTGTCCACAGAGCCACCTCCTTTCGTCAGAAGCCTCCACTAATGACGTGCCGCGTGCTTTGCATGCTAATGCATAGAACGGACTGCATTCCATTGGCGGCTCAATTTGCGAGTTAAAGTGCCTACCGCCGGCGGCGCAGGATTGAATATGGTTGCTTTCTGGTGAGACGGGAAGAGGTCCCTTTCAAGGACACGTTTCGTGATTAGCACAGAAGCGAGACGGCTGGCAAACGGGCCATTATTACGCTGCAAAGATCAAAACCGGATTGCCAGGCCAGCGAACTGCCAATCTCACCTTTTCATATCAAAGCCAAGCAATTTTGGGCAGTCAAATATATAAGTATATATGTATATACATATATACACAATTCTCTCATATCCCTGCACACATTATATACAGGAATGAACCACCCTGCAAAGTTGTCCTTGGCGCTGTATTTTTAGAAGAAGTTCCCAGAAAATACACGACTTGTCTGGTAAAAGCAAAAAGCGTTTGAATGCCTTCATTTCACTTGCAGTGATTTGTGTTATAGTGAATTGAATAAAAAATGGTATTATTAAGCAAAGAAATAGGGTTATCTTCAATGAATTAGGTCTTAAAATATATTCTGGCACTGATACATGATTACATATGCCAATTTGATTACAAAATGCTATAAGTTACCAGATTTATTTGGACCTTTCACCGACACTGCAAGTATTTGCTTATATATTTATTTAGTGTACTGTTTTCAAGGGTTTCAAATATACTCTCCTATCCCGAAGTTCAGTTTAATCTTAATCTGAAATTGATTTCGCAGTGAATGGCTCTAATTGCGAGGCCGTGATCTTCCAGCTGGTTGCTTAACCAAACCGATGATATCTGCAACTTCCGGCTGGCATGCATGGGGTATTTACATATCTTGCTCTCCATTTCCATTTCCATTACCCCTCCACTTCCCATTTCCATATCCAAATCCAAATTCATGGAGCCTGGCATCAAACTTTCGCCTTTGCCCAGAACTTTGTCCCGGCGAAAAGTTTGCCCAAACACTGGGACCAGACCATGTCGCCTGGACAAAAAAAAACCAAAGTTTCGGGGGATGAAATTGGGCAATATCGCAGTTCCACTTCCCAGTTCCCACTTCCCTCGCATTTCTAAGCAAAACGTTTAATATTCACGCTTGAGCGCGTTTGCCGAGGCGAAGGGTGCCTTTCTTGGCAGTGGCTATGAAAATGTGTGAAACTGTTTGACGCTTATCTGTACGCCCTGCTCGGCGTTTTGACCAAATTTTATTGCCTGTTTCCAGGCCAAACGCTTCGTTTCTGCTCAAGTGAACCCGGCTCCCTTGGTATTCCGGAGCTCTGCTGTTCCGCTGTTCCGCTAGTCCGCTCTTATGCAATTAGCCACCGCCCATGTGTCCGGATAGGACGGATGTGGATGTCCATTGCCCTGATGATGATGCCCAAGCGGCGTTCATTACCTCCCGGCAGTCATATTAATCATACGCCACGTTGTGCGCACCAGCACTAATGTGCCGATGATGCCCAGTCCAACTTGTTGTCCAATGTCCAGCGTTTAAATGCAGTTTCGAGTTACTTGCTAACTGTCGCTTGTTTACATGCCCAGCCACACAGGCCAACGTCGTGTTTCTCCAAATGTCCTGAATCCAAAGTGAAAACACGGACCGAAATTCGGACGTGGCCTGCAATTGCGATTCCTGATTTTCAGTTTGGTTCGGCTTGCAGCCATCATTCAACTTTCATGCGAACATTTGTTTTCCCCATTCTGTTTTTCCACCGCTTTTACTTTTTCTTTTTCTTTGGTTTGTGGCTGAAATGCGGATGGCGGCCACTCAGTTTCTATTCCACAGTGGTTCAGATACAAAAATGTGATTAAAATCAGTTTTTAGTTGAGTTAAGATTTTAAAAACTATTCAAGTAAAAAACCTTCAAAAATGTTTTAAAATCTAGAAAAACTTAACCCATTTTCACAGTCAATGGTATGACACTGGCTCAGAATATATTGAGATTTCTTAAACACACGTGAGGGTTCCAAAGAAGTTTGACTAAGATAATGCTTATCTGAGACACCTTGCCAGGCATCGATATTAGATGTCTTGTTTACAGACACTTTTTATTGACGCCAAGAAGTTGGCCAGCACTTTTCCGCCATCCAAGTACAACTGAAAGTCGAAGTCAGTGTGCCAGAGACCAGAACAGTGCTCATCTAGGACTCGACGAACCATCAGCGGAAGTGCTCGTCGCCATTTTTAGTGCACTTCTTGAAAGTGCGCACATTTCCGTTTGGCATCAATGATTCGGACCGGAGCCCATGACTCCACCCACTTTACTGCCCACAGTCCGTGTCCTCTCCTTCTCCTTCCCCTTCCTTGTCTCCTCTGTGTGCTCCACGTTTTTTGCCTCTCCCTTTTTTGGCCACTGACTGTTTTGGCCTCACTTTTGCTGATTTTAATTTTGGTAAAAGTTGTCACATTTGATTTTTGGCAATTGTTCGGTTTTATGCGCGCTAGTCTCCGCCTTAGTCTGCTTTTTTATGGCGCTTTTTATGTGGTGCCATGTCGCTGTTGCTTTGTTTGGACCCGCGGACAGCAGTTGGCTTTATTGTCTTGGCCACCCCGATACATTCCGGATTTTTGGGGAGCACAAGGCGGCTAGGATACAGTGTGGCCTGGAGTGCCTGTTGCATGGAATGGAAGTGGATATCTATAAAAGAAAGCCGGGGGAAAGGAGATTAGGCGGTGAAAAGTTTGGCAGAACTCGAAGGAATCTTTGGACGTCTGGCTAGAGGAACAAATGTAATTAGCCAGAGAATTAATTTGGATTTGGTAGTTAGCAATGAATGTTAGGGATTTGGGAAGACGGAAAATGTTGAGATAG